TAATTCAATTCCTACTTAGATCAACAAAGAAAATTTTTATTTTAGCTACTTTTTATTAATAGTTACAATTAAGATAAATATGTATATACATAGGACAGAATCACAACATTAAGTGGTCATTCATTTTTATTAATTACCATTAAAGTATCGTATTGTTATCCAAAACAATTGTGTATATAAAATTTCAGTTCAATTGAATGCTTTAAAACATGAGAAAAAAACCTTTTCCAAGTTTTGACACAAGTCGCCATAAATGATGCCAACGTGGTTGTATTTGTAATTCTTTAAATAATTTGTTTTCATCAATTAATTTTCATTAATTATAATTAAATTATTGTATTGTCATCAAAAATAATCATGTATATAACATTTCAGCTCAATTGAGCGCTTTAAAATGTGCTTTATTCTACCAAGATAAATAAATGAATAAGCATAGAGAGAGTGTGAGCTAATAGTAGGAACTGAACAAGTTCAAATTTACTAATACTGTAGGATTGCGTACCGATTACATTATTAAAGCTTTTCTGAAAAAAAAAAGATGGAATCTGATGTTTTTATTGTATTAATAAAGCTTTACCTTGTCTTAGGAAACGGTCTTCGTGTGGAAAGCTCAAGTTTTTATTGCATCCCTATACCTTTATCCTGTCTTAGGACACCATCCTCACTTAAGGTGCTGACGCATAGCTTTACCCTGTCTTGGAAACCGTCCTCGCGGGGGATGCTGACGTACAGCCTTACCCTGTCTTTAGGAAATTGTCCTTGTTTAGGATGTTGACGCATATCTTTACCTTGTCTACAGACACCGTCTTCATTTATGACGCTGACGTTTTTATTGTATCAATATCGCTCTACTTTGTTTTCGGATATCGTTTGCGAATTAGTTATTGAATTATTTTGTGCTCATTTTATTAATAAAGAATATACTCATATTATCTTTCAGTAAATAAAGCGTAAGAATTCGCTGCAGCAGCCACGTTTGATAAAAAGATCTTAATGTTAAATCTTCTAACCTACCATTTTTTAAAAAAAATTTAAATTTTAAATAACTTTTAAATAATAATTCACAAATTAAGCATTAATATATATATATTTCCTCTTTTTTTATAATAAATGTATCTCGCTAAAATCTTTAAGAAATGCCTGGAGTAAAATTTAAAAAGTAAACTTTTCCCTTCAATTTTAAAAGCTGCTTAAGTATTTCTAAAAATAGACATGTGTTATATTAATCCCAGTACAAATTTCTTCATTTTTAACTTTTTCAAATAATTAATAGAAAAACTTTATTATTCAATTTTTGAACTGATGAGCTATAATATGAAACTTTAGTCACGCAAATTTAATATCGGATATTTTTGTACATCAAAGATTGTTCATGCTCAGTATCAATATCGAGAACAAAAGTCAATTTAAAACTGCGTGATAAAATGAAAAAAAAAAAAAAAAAAAAACATTTTATACACAAAATGCTTGAAATTATACTCATGTGGAATTTATGGAATACTTCAGAAATTTGTAAGAAAAACCCTATAGCTGAATTTCCAAAATTTTATTTTAAAGGGAAAATATCAACATTTCTCCCTATAAACCACATTTAAATCTAAAAAGTAAAACCTATTTTTTATTTTTAAAGCTCATTAAAAATAAAAGCATATACAGTGACTCTCAAAAGTGTTCCCACACAATTTAATATTTTCGACTATTAAAAACTAATACAGCGGAATTTAGTTTCAGAAAATTCAACATTGTCAGAAAATTGATTGGGATGACAGCAGATTCAACATTTTTGGTTCAGACAAAAGTATTATAGTTCGAAGAAAAAAACTAGGAACTTAATCCTACAATAATTTATTTGGAACAGTGAAGCATGGTAGGGAAGGTGTTCTTAAATGTGTGCGTGGGGAGGGGGGCTTCAACATTAGATATTTTGGTATTTTTTGATGGTATTATAAATCATGAGTTTTATTTAAATATTTTAAAGAACAATTTGAAATTATCCACCCAAATTTTGGGTGATGAATTCATTTTTTAATGAGATAATGACCCCCATCGTACTACTCTCAACAGACGCTTCTGGTGTCTCTATAACTGCCCCCAAATTCTAAAAACACCTCCTTAATCCCCTGATTTAAGCCCAGTAGAACATATCTGGTGAGAATTTGAAGTTGAACTAAGATGACATGACATATAAAAACAAAATGTAAACTAAAAACAATAATCACAGAAGAATGGAGGAGCATCGATGCAGAAATTACAAAAAACAGATGAAATCTACGCCAAGACGTTTTAAAGTTGTTGTGGATGCCTTAAGATATAATACTAAATACTAAATATTAAGGAAAAGATACAATAGTTAAAACTATGATCAGATTTTTTTTTTTTTTAATGTACGAAGAATTTCATGACTTAATTTTTTAGTAGTTTTTGATTATTAATTTTTAGAAATAATAGTTATACTATGTTTTAAAATTTAATTATGACTTTCCATTAAGAGACATTTCCATTTTTATTAGTCGAAAACATCAATTTTTTTAGAAAATTGCAAGTGTACGAACACTTTAGAAAGACACTGCAGAAGGGAAACGAATGTCACATTAAGATAATTGAACACCTAATTTTCGAATTTTGATTCTCATTATTTCAAATAAATTAATTAAATATTAGTATATTTAACAACTTTTTATATTGTTGTGTTCAGTTGATGTTTAAAGTATTGATCGAGGTAATTCTGTTTGCTTACGTAGCAAAAATATTCTGCTTAACAAAGAAAGGAAACAGCAAATGCAATTCGATTTTTTTATTTTTATTACAAAAGTGGGATAACACCTGCTGAATTAGTAATTTCAACCAGCTGTTTATAAAGTGTCTGTGAGAAAGAAAAATAGAATTTATAACAAGGGTAAAGCTAATTCGAAAAAAAGAAAAGATTTATATTTAAAAGAATTGTGAAGAATCTATGTTTGAGCTCTGTAAAAATTTCTATAAAATTCAATCAACAGTTTTTCTTTTTAGTTTCGCCTGAAACTACTGGACAACTACTCGGATCAGCTGGTTTAAAAGGCTATTCAGTGAAAAGTAATTTTATGTGACACCAAGGAACAGAAAACTGAGACTTAGGTCTCCCAAGTCAATGATAAAGCAGTTCATTGGAATCGTATGTTTTGTTGCACATGAAAGTCAGTTTCCCATTTTCGATTTTAATAAGCACGTAAAAGAATAGAGAAAAAAAAAGAAGCTTAATCAGAATATTTTATTTGTAATAGCGCATAACGGTTGTAAAATGAATAAAGAATGTATTAAAAAACGTTTTAAAAACAATGCTGTGAAAACGATAAATTTTGTAAAAGTAAGATAATTAAATTCCGTACTATTTGCTTTATTATGAGCAGAATGACCCAAAAAAATATAGTGCCCTGCTTTTACATATGGAATTCAAATTAATTTTAAATGAATCAAGTCATAACAATGCGCTATAATTATATGATGAAATGTGGTTCCGAAGTTTATCTTATTTAGCAGATATCATTGCTGTTCTAAATGAAATAAATATATTGAATGTATATACTATAAAAAATTTTTAAAAAAAGTGAATACAATTGTTTAAGGAATTAACAGCAATTTGCATCTCAAACAGGATGACGAGCAATATTTTGAAAAACTAACCATTTTTTGATGAACGAATCTAAATGAAAATGAATTGATTTTAAGGGATAGTGTTCAAATGTATATAATGGATCACAATTTTTCAAATAAAAAATATAAGAGAATATTTTTTCAGGAGAGAAAACTAAGCACGGAGGACTAAAAAATTCTTTCGAGTACTATAGCAAATTTGAATACTATAATAAATCAGAAGGCTTGCTTCTCACACAGTTATACCCATTTACATGTTTTTCTTTCTGTCAAATGGGGCCGCGGGTTGGTAATCACAATTGCAGACCTAATACATTCCCCGATATAATCGGTATAACTTTTTAGTGTGGCACCATATACGTGGACACCAATTACCACAATGTTATTTGACGTCCAGTTTCTTCTGCAGAGGGAAAGAACCTGAGCTCTGACGATGCGAAATTCAACTAGGAATTTAAATTCGACGAGAGCATCCAAGCCAGACATTCTAAGAATCTTAAGCATACCACATGGACGCTGTCGATTTTTTGCATCATGGAAATCCGCTGACTAGGGCAAGGGTTGAACTCACAAACTTGGGCGTACAAGGCCAGCCCCAAACCAACTATGGCACCCAGCCGGAGCATTTAAATTTCTTGCGGAACAAATATTTAAGTGAAAAATCTTTTAATGCATGTCGCAACAAAAACAAAATATAGAATCAAATTAAATGCAGAACATGAAATGAGACTGAAGACAACTTCAACAGAGCTAGACTTTGCCATTTTGTACGAAAAAAGGCAGGCATATACATACATATACATAAAAATATCTCTGTCAGAAAATACGCAAGGGAAGGTGGCCCCTGGTGCACGAAATAATAACATTAATGACTAAATTACATAAATTTTAAGCTAAAACCCTTAAATAAAAAATACTGTAATTTTCTTTTATATATAAAATGCATATAACATGTTTATCTATTTTAAGTATTTTTTAAGATATATTCTTCTAAGTCCCCCACAACTTCTAATAGGTCTAATGCTGAATTCACACCAAGGCGTACAAACGTCGAGTGTCAAG